TCATCTGCATATCTGAGGTTATTGATATTTCTCCCAGCAATCTTGATTCCAGCTTGTGCTTCATCCAGCCTGGCATTTCACATGATGTATTCTGCATATAAGTTGAATAAGCAGGGTGACAGTATCCAGCCTTGATGTACTCCTTTCCCAATTTGGAACCAGTCCGTTGTTCCATGTCCGGTTCAAACTTGCTTCTTGACCTGCATACAGGTTTCACAGGAGGCAGATAAGGTGCTGAATCATATGACAATTCTATTTCCAGCTTTTTGAGGCATCTCCATGCTGTTTTCCACGGTGGCTGCACCAACTATATTCCCACCAACAGTGTAGGAAGGTTTAGGGAAGTCTATTTTTTAAAACTGCATTTCACTTACTACCTAATGAAGTTATCTTTCCAATTATTTTACTATTCATTTCTATTTTACTTTCTGTGAATGGGCTTTTTCTTTTGAGATGTCTGTTCCTTTCTTGTTAATTTGTTAAAGATCTTTGAATCTAATTAGTGTAATCAATCTTCTGTTGTTAGTTCTGTTGTAAATATTTTCTTCCAGCCTGTCATTTGTCTCTTGACTTTGTTTATGGAATTTCTTGCCAAGTGGTGAATTTTAATTTCCATGTAGTCAAATCTGTTCCTCTTTCCCTTTAAATCTTCTGAGTTGCATGCCTTCTTAAAACAGCTATTTCAAGATTATTAAAATAATCTATGTTTTCTTCTAGTATTTATATAGCGTTTCATTTACATTTACTCTAAATCCATATAAAGTTTATATTTAAGAATGGGGTGAGGTGAGGGATCTAACTTAAGTTTTATTCTCCCCCCTCAAGTTTTATTAGTCCCTACTTTTTCTCACCTAATCTGAAAGCATACTCTTACAATATAATAAATTCCCACATGTACAGAGGTTTGTTTGCAAACTCTCTTCTCTTCCACTGATTTTATTTTGCTATTTGGTAGAGTAAAATACCCTTACCTTTTTATTCTACTTTAATTCCCTTCTTCGCTATTCTTGTGCATTTTCCTTTAACATAATAGTGTCAATCTATAAAGCATGACACCCCCCCACCAACAGTCCCCAAAAGTCCACCGGTGTTTTGACTGGGACTGTAGTGAGTTTATAGACTATTTATGATTTTGACTCATTTGCAGTATTGTGTGCTCTCATTCAGGGACATGGTTTATCAATACACTTGTTTTATAACTTTCAGTAACATTTGAAAGTTTTCTTCAACAAACAAGCTCATTTTAAAGATAATTTGTAATTTTTATGGCTACTGAGAATGAGTTCTTTTTCCTATTTTCTAGATACATTTCTAGATGCATATATTGGAGTTTTTAAGTAGAAAATAACATCTTCAAATAATAACAGTTTTATTCTTTTATTCCTGAAATGTGTATATGTGTGCATGTTATATTATCTTCAATTATTTATGTCATCTTACTACTTTGCCCAGGATCTCTAGAGAAGAGCTGAATAAGAGAAACAGCAGCAAGCATCTCCACCTTGTTCCTAGCTTTAATGAGAACATCTTTGGAGTCTCACCATTGACTATTGTCGGGATTAAAGAAATAGTTTCTGAAATATGTCTTTCATTAATTAAGTAAGTTTCCTTTTATTTTTAGCCTACGGAATTTTTGAAAAATCAGGAGAGGGGCTTGAATTTTATTAAATTCCTTTTTAAGGTCTATAGAACATAGTTTTTCTCATTTCTAACGCTGAATCAGCTTTACATTTGAGAATAAATCTATGTGGCTTATATTAGGAAATGACAGGATTTAATTTGCTAATACTTTGTTTAGAATCTTTGCATATATATTCATATATGATCTAAGGTTTCTTTTTTGTGTGAGTTTCATGGCTGTCTTGTTATCAAAGGTAAGCAGGCATCATGAAATAAATTTCTTTCATCTTTTTGGGCTTCCCTGGTGGCTCAGTGGTAAAGAGTCCACCTGCCAAGGCTGGAGACATGAGTTGCATCCCTGACCCTGGAAGATTTCACATGTCAAGGAGCAACTAAGCCAAGCCCGTGCACAACTATTGAGCCTGTGGCCTAGAGCCTGTGCTCCACAACAAGAGAAGTCACCGCAATGAGAAGCCCGTGCACTCAATTGAGAAAGTCCATACAGCAATGAAAGATCCAACACAGCCAAAAATAAGTAATTAAATAAATTTTTCCCTATCTTTTTAATGGTCTGGAACAATCTACACAGGAATCACGTACTTCTCAAAGGTCTGAGCGCACTCTCCCATAAAACCATCTGGGACTTTGCCTTTATCTAGATCTTTTACGACCTTTTTCAGGTTCATGCCATGTTCAGCAGGCATGAGAATGCAGAAGCATCCTACGCAAGATTTACACCTTTACAAGAGAGTGTGGCTTCAGATGGTTCAAATATTTTTCTTAAGATCACTAATATCTTTGTCTACCTTTGACTTCTTGAATTTTCTCCTTTTTCTCTGTTCTTTCCAAGGTTCAGTTCAGTTCACTTGCTCAGTCATGTCTGACTCTTTGCAACCCCCATGAACTGCAGCACGCCAGGCCTCCCTGTCCATCACCAACCCCCTGAGTCCACCCAAATTCATGTCCATTGAGTCGGTGATGCCATCCAACCATTTCATCCTCTGTCGTTCCCTTCTCCTGCCCTCAATCTTTCCCAGCATCAGGGTCTTTTCTAATGAGTCAGCTCTTCGCATCAGGTGGCCAAAGTATTGGAGTTTCAGCTTCAACATCAGTCCTTCCAGTGAACACTCAGGACCGATCTCCTTTAGGATAGACTGGTTGGATCTCCTTGCAGTCCAAGGGACTCCCAAGAGTCTTCTCCAATACCACAGTTCAAAAGCATCAATTCTTCGGCACTCAGCTTTCTTTATAGACCAACTCTCACATCCATACATGACCACTGGAAAAACCATAGGCTTGACTAGACAGACCTTTGTTGGTAATGTCTCTGCTTTTTAATATGCTGTTTAGGTTGGTCATAACTTTCCTTCCAAGGAGTAAGCATCTTTTAATTTCATGGCTGCAGTCACCTTCTGCAGTGATTTTGGAGCCCAGAAAAATAAAGTCAGCCACTGTTTCCACTGTTTCCCCATCTATTTTCCATGAAGTGATGGGACCAGATGCCATGATCTTAGTTTTCTGAATGTTGAGCTTTAAGCCAACGTTTTCACTCTCCTCTTTCCCTTTCATCAAGAGGCTCTTTAGATACCCTATCAAATGATGGTGCCCTTCCTGGACTCAACCATTTCCCACTTTAACAGCCCCTGTTCTGCCTTCTGCCTGAAGTGTCCCTTCACTCCCTCCTGCCTGATGGACCCACACTCAGTCAGAGAGCAGACTGAGACAACTGTCCCTCTAGAAAATGTTACGGACAGAGGAATACGGAGAACATTTCATTGCCAGGGCAGAGTAAGGGCTCCCATGTGGGGATAAGACTCATTCTGCCTTTGTGACTCAACCTGCCCTTTTCAAGAAAGAGAGCTAAAGGGACTTCCTGGTGGTCCAGTGGGTAAGACTCTACACTCCCAATGCAGGGTGCCTGGGTTCAATTCCTGGTCAGGGAACTAGATCCCACATGGCACAACTAAAGAGTCCTCATGTTAAAACTAAGACCTGGCACTGCCAAATAAATATATTTTTGGAAAACAAACAAACAAAACTCGAAGATCACTCAGACTTGAGGAACCTGCAGTCTGAAATTTGCTCTGCTCTAAATATCACAAAATGAGGACCACGCCCGCAGCAGAATTCAATACCAAAGTCAAAAAGTTTTCCTTGAAAATAGATTTAATCTTATTCAAATTAGAAATGTTCTGCATATCTCTCCAAAACCACCTCCAAAGTTCTCCTCGTGATACATGAAAAGTTTTCTAGGGAAACTTTATGAAACTACTGAAAGGCATCTCCATATTTCCTCAGTGTGGATCTGTCAAAAAGTACACAAGTGAAAACTTCGAATGTTTGAGCCGTTCGCGAGGTGCCTGGGTCATTCACTCTGGAGGAATCGGCGGGGTGGAGGGACTACGGTCTCCACGTGCGAACACGTCCCCTCTGCCTTGTCAGGTACACTGGCAGAGCACACAGAGGCAACGGACTCTCGAGGGGAACATTTCATGGAGCAGAGGGCAACGGACAGGAGCCAGAAACTGGGCCGGAGCTGAACATTAGAGGCTAAGAGTGAAAAATCAANGTGTAGGGGGGCTGTGTGGGGGTCTGTGGGGGGGTGTAGGGGGTGTGTGTGTGGCTCCAAGCCCAGTTCTGCCCAAGTCCACAGAACTCAGTGGAGCCCCAGCCCTACCTCGGCTACCCTCAGCTGAGAACAGCTTCAGTTTGGGCGTACAGTCCTCTTTGTGTGCTGGACCTTCTGCCTCTGAAAATCTTTTTTTCCTTATATATCCTTAAGTTTTTTCAATTTTTTTTTTTTTTTCCCCAAAGGACTGAACTTGAAAGCAGCAGTTTGGGGTTCAGACCTGGGCTTGGCCACGTAATGGTTAGCACCTGACAAATGCTTGTAAGTACCAGCTATGATAACCAGGGCTTCCCTGGTGGCTCAGATGGTAAGAAATCTGCCTGCAATGTGGGAGGACCAGATTCCACCCCTGAGTTGGGAAGATCTCTTGGAGAAGGGAATGGGCAACCCACTCCAGTATTCTCACCTGGAAAATCCCATGGAGAGAGCAGTCTGACAAGCTACAGTCTATGGGGTTGCAAAGAGGTGGACATGAGCAACTAACACACACACACATAACATCCATGGACATTTATTGAGAGATGACTACGTGCGAGGTATTGTGATCACGTTTACATGGATCAAAGCATTTGACTTCACCACCATCAATGACAAGTGTGATGACTCTCCATTCCACACATGAGGCACAGAGAGGTTGGGCGACCTGCCCAAGGTCACCCAGCTAGTAAGTGGAAGGGCCAGAATTGAAGCCCAGATGGGAACTGTGTTATCAAGTCTTAAATCCAGGACCATCAGTTAAAGGCACTTCCACTGCCCTCCCTGCCACTCTGACAGCTCCTCTCCCTCTAGTTTCTTTGGGTTCAGAGCTGATGATGAGACAGGGCCAGTTCCTGGAGTGTGAGCAGCAAACTGACTCTGGCCAAGCACAGTCACATGCGTTTGGCTTCCTGCCTGCTGCTCTTTGCTTGTTAAAGTCTGCTCAGTGTGTGAACTGGGTCTTTTCTGCAAAGCCTGAAACTTCATCTACTTTTTATCCTTTTCAGAAAACACTCTCAGCCTCAGTGCTTGCTGGAGCTCCTTGCCCCAGGACTCCGCAGCCTTCACCTCTGGAATGATAACCAGCAGGGGATGGTGAATCCACATGTTCCCATCGGTCTTAAGAGAGGCTGCCAGGCCAGGAGCTGAGATGGGTCTGCAGTATGGGGATTGTGGGGGTCTGCTTAGCTGTGGGTGAATCAGCCTTAAGAAGCTGGCTGAGGGGCTCTGTAGAGACCATCACTGACGGAACCGCAGACCTGATTCCATTCCTCAGCACGCCACTCCAAGGCTAGTCTAAGGAAAATGATGGTGTTTCCAAGCAGGAGAGGAGGATGACTCAACAACCTTCCAGATAGAATCCCAACAACCCCCAAGCTCTGAAAACCAAAAGCCTTTTCATTTTTGGTGCCAAAACTCATGTCCCACTCAGCGTGAATATATATCCATTTCAGTGCAGACATGCCAGTGTTTCTGGTTACTGGAATTCAGAATTTGGAGAGACTTCCCTAATGGTCCAGTGGCATAGACTCCACACTCCTCATGCAGGGGACCCAGGTTCTATCCCCGGTCGGGAACTAGATTCCATATACCACAACTAACAGTTTGCTTGCCAGATGGCACAACTAAAGATCCCACATGCCACACCTAAGACCCAGCACAGACCCAAATAAATTAATGTTTTTTTTTTAAATTCAGATTTGGAATCACATCTGCTCTCCAGGGTTTGGGAATGGGATTCTGAACCTGTAATAATGTATCAGACATCCAGGGTGATGCTAAAGGTTTACACAGATGATTTCCTGAATGCCTTACAAACCACCCCAGCCTATGATCCTCACCCTACAGACAAAGAACTCTTCAGTCAGTCACCAGCATACTCACCTAACCCACAGCTTTGCCTCCTGCCAGGGGCTCCTGGTGAGCCTGGCACAACTCTTACAACCAAGCTACAGCCCAAGGCCCCTTCTCCTTCTCTCCTCCACAGGAGTCAGGTCTGCACCGCTGTCTCCCTGTGAAGAAAAGGCTAAAACTCTTTCTCCTTTCCTAAGGACAAATTTGATCTTGAGTTAATTTTCCAGCTCTCTTCCCATGAAGCTAGATAAAGGCTCAATGTCAGCAGGGATATTCAGCAGAACAGTCGATGGTTAAAAACGACTTCTGGTCTGGACTGAAAGGACCCTAGGTGAACTAACAAACTGTTAGGACACCGCAGCTGAGGCCTCCCTGATTGCGATGGCTCCTGTGACCGGGCAGGTTCCTTGAGGGAGCCTGGGACCTTGCCTGTTGGCTGCTGAGAAGATAACGGGCACTTCCTAGGTGGCTCGGTGACTAAGACTCCACCTCCCAAAGCAGGGGGCCTGGGTTCGACCTCTGGTCGGGGAACTAGATCTCACATGCCACAACTAAGACCCAACGCAGCCAAATAAAAAAATATGAGAAATAGATCCCTCCAGAAAACATATGTATATAAAAAAGATAACGGTTCCTATGGCGCTCCTAAGCCAAAGCAGCCCCCACAACTACCGATGGGGGTGTCACCTCCTCGCCCCGAGCAGTCACTTGGGGAAGAGGACGGCCCCTGAGCCGGTGTGCGGACGACTCCTGTGGAAGAAGTCACGTGGTGCAGCCACGCCGACCTGTGCTACATCCCCCTAAGTGACGCCCACACGGGTGTGTCTCCCACGGTCTACTGTGTCTGGATGTCTAGTGAAGCCTAACCAGACCCGGGCAGACACTGCTTCTCTTCCTCACAGCCTCCTCCTCACCTGCTTCCAGACTTTCATCCCCCACAGACGGAAGTGGGGCACCGGTTCCGCATCAGGATGATAGGCAGCCAGCAGGCCTGGCTTCCCAGGCCTCGACGCCACCCCTCTGCCACGGCTCCTCGGCTGACAATCAGGATGAGAGGGCATCTGCATACTGGCTGCTGGACCCTCTTCCCGCCGACCATTAAAAGACTTGACCAAGATATTTATAATCATTTAATGAATGTTCCAAACATACCCTTGGTGGGGCTACAGATGAGTTTCATGACGATGGAAGCCGATGTACATCCACACCCACCCAAATAGCCACAGAGTTAGCAGCAGTTTCCAGAAACCCGACACAAACCAGAAAGACCTCATGGGGAACAGGATGATCACTCAGCCAGAGAGGTTCTTTGAGATCCTTACTCTCCTCTTTCTCCTCCCCACTCAGGCCTTCTCTAGGGTATGGATGTTCAGGATGGGAGAGGAGGGTGGGGAGGCCCCATCGCACTTACGCAAAGAGGCGCTCTGAGAACCCCATCACCTCAGATGCAGTGAGATGACCCAGAGACAGAGGTCTGCTCAATAAATAAATAATTCCCAGAAGCCACCCAGGGGGGCTGGCAGGCCCAGGGTCTCCAAGCCAGAGGAGCCTCCACCCCAGGAGGCCTGACCAGGCTGCTCGCTACGTGCTGCATACCAGCACATCTGCAAAGGGTCCCAGCAGGGTCTTGTTGAAGATGCAGCGGATCCACACCAGGTAGGTAGTGAAGGGCTTGATGTTCTCCGTGAAGGTGTGGTTCTGCAAGGCCAGCATGTAAGGCACGTAGGTGTTCTCCCCCTGCTCCTGGAGCCACACCTCGTACTTCACCTCCCTCACCTTCAGGTACTTGAGGTTCCACGGGATCTGCCAGGAGACGGACAGGCGGGCCTCAGAGGCGCCCTGCACCGACGCCTGGCACCGGGCCTCCCGCACCTTGCCGGGGTACAGGCTGACCGTCCACTTCTGCTTCCTTGGCCCCGGATGGCCCTTCACCACGCGCCGTATGGTTTGGATGAGCGATGGGATGTCCACCTTGGTGTCCTGGTAGATTCGGAAGAGCCACTCGGGGTTCCGGCAACAGAGGTGCCGGGGGACCTCCCGGCTTTGCAGGATCCGGGCCTGCTCGGCCCTGTCCAGGTGGGCAATGCCCCCCTGGTCCCAGGGCCGCTCGGGATGCGTGACCGTGTTCTCTGGCATCGTGTTCTGCCAGGCTATGTACTGGAGGTCCATGCCGGGCAGCGTGGCCAGCGTCTTATAAGGGGTGTAGTGGTCAGGGTTGACAGCATAGGGGAAGAGCTCCACGACGGCTGCCCCGCGGGGCAGGAACAGGGCCGTGACCAGCTGGGCCCCGTGCATGCTGACCAGCATGGAGGCGTTGCTGACCAGCCGCACCACGTCTGCAAAGGCGTGGTCTTCCAGGGACACCGTCACCGTCTTCATCTGGAACTCCTGGGCCAGGGCCAGCAGCAGCTCTGCCTCATTCAGGATGAGTCTGTTCTGGGTGCGGCTGAACACCAGGATGTACTCCTCAGCCAGGGCGCCCCCGGCCTGGCTCACATTCAGCTTTTCCATCAGGAACCGCGCGAACTGTCGGATCTCGTTGCCGGAGACCAGGATGTTGGCCTTCGGGCCCTGGGGCTGGACGAAGCCGTACTGGTACCAGGTGGTGACCTTGGAGAGGCCCACAAAGGCATGGGAGAAGCAGAGCAGCCGGCCCAGGGCCTTCAGCTGCGCCCGCAGGAGGGGCTGCTTGGGGCTGAGCAGCTTGTAGAGGTCGAAGTGGGCACCCTCTCCCCAGCCCTCCATGAAGAAGAGCCGGGCCTCGCGGGCCAGGCCGGGGAACTGCCGAAGGGTGTAGAAGAGCGGCAGCAGGTCGTCGTGGAAGACGTGCATCAGGTTGTCGGGGTTGAAGCGGTTGGCGATGAGGGCCACATCGGGCACAAATACGGGCTTGGGCATGAAGCGCAGGGCGGCGGCCGGCAGCTCCACGAAGTTGAAGTACTGGGTGTTGTGGTCCTCCACGGTGGACAGGAAGGCGTCGAAAGCGGCCGACTCCACCCGGCGGATCTGGTTGTTGCCCAGGATCAGGTGGCGGAGGTTGCCCAAACCCCGGAGCTGGTCGCCTCGGACCTCTGCCAGCCGGTTGCTGTCGAGGTGCAGGGCGCGGAGGGCGCGCAGGTCCGCAAAGGCGCCGGCCGCCACCTGGCCAATGGNTGACCCCATGGACTACAGCCTGCCAGGCTCCTCTGTCCATGGGGATTCTGCAGGCAAGAATACTGGAGTGGGTTGCCATGCCCTCCTCCAGGGGATCTTCCCGCTCCCGGGGTGGAACCCACGTCTCCTGCATTGCAGGTGGATTATTTACCATCTGAGCCACCAAGGAAGCCCAAGAAGACTGGAATGGGTAGCCTATCCCTTCTCCAGGGGCTCTTCCAAACCCAGGAATTGAACTAGGGTCTCCTGCATTGCAGGTGGATACAGGAATCCCCCTGGTAGGCTAGACCCTTGTTTTAAAATGTTCACCCACTTCCCTCTCCTGCTGCCTCCATGGGAAGTACAGATCCCTGCGCCTGGCCACATAACTTGCTTTGGCCAATGAGGTGTCGACAGACAACATATTCAGGGGCTTGAAAGGTGCTTGTGTGACTGTCTTTGCCCTCTTTATACCTAGTATGTTGCTGTAAGAAGAATGTGATCAGCCGAACTTGCTGGTCCCGGGGGAGAGAGCTATGTGGGGAGCACAGCTGTTGCAGCCATGCCGGGTGTGGCTCGGCTGACCCCCAGATGTGTGAGTGAGCGAGGATCGTAAGAACCACAGGCAAACCCACCCAAGCCCGGGCAACACAAGAGACATCCGAGCTGAACAGATGCTTCTTATCATATGTCAATGAAACTCTGGAGCCGTCTGTTATAAAACACTGCTGCAAAGAAAGCTAACTGCTGTGTTGGGAGAAGCTGCAAGGAAAACCCCCATTAGGGGCCCAACCTCCCTGGCACTGCCAGGGAAGGACTTCACCTTACCATGGGCACAAATGGGATGAGAGGCCTGTGAGCGCCAGTCCCAGGCTGCACACCAGGACCCCTCTTATGCCCCATCTGGGACACACGCACAGGGATTTCCTATTTGGCAATCATGCCGGCTGGTTTTTATGTCTCCATGAAAAGATGGGTAGAAACTTGCCCCACTGGTCCAGTAAGAGAACTGTGTCTGAGTCTCACCACTGACAAGGGTTCTGTATACGGAGGCAACATCTCTGAAGGGTTAAACTTCCTGTCCCACATACTCTTTGCCTATAGGGCCTGGCTGGGCTGCAGGCATTTGCTCCCATTTTCCCCCCGCTACTGGGAAGGGCATCATACCTGCTCTGAGGCCCAGGACTGTTGAGACAGCCGAAGAATGGGACTGTTCAGTCCTCATGGAAACAGCATGGCTGACGCCTGACACCAGCCACAGGGTGAGAAGAGTGGCGCCTGCTTAGCTGGCTTCTGACTGCGCCTGCAGTCAGCCCTGTTCATCTCTGGGGCAGGGCCTCTAAGAGCAGAGAAACCCTGCAGCCGAGAAATCTGCTGAAGCATCAGTGTTTCTCAGTCTTTTCAAGGCCATGTACCCACTAATAATAAAGAAAACCTCTTTCATGCCTCAAACTGATCCGTAAAGTGCAGCAACCTCTTCTGCCAAGAATCTCTCACGCACAAGACTCTTCTATAATATCTGCTCCCCAACACAACAGGATTTCATCAACTTCTACTTTCTTTAATTTTTTTTTTTACTTTTTGGCCATGTCATGCAGCATGTAGAATCTATCTAACCTGTGCCCTCTGCAGTGGAAGTGTGGAATTGTAACTTTTGGATTGCCAGGGAAGTCCAACTTCTACATTTTCTGAAGTTAGTATTTTATATCTATATCTGTATATGCAAAATAATAATGTTGCATTATTGTATTGCAAAATAATAAAGTAAAATAATACTTTTCAGAATATATGTGTCCCCATCTAGAAATTCTCCACCCAGCCTCACCAGCTAAGAACTACTTTGCTATTAGGTTGAACCATGTTAAGTTGCTGATACTTGACAATTTCTGACTAGTGTCCCATGGTCCTGCCACTATCCTTACCACCACTATGGTATATATATATATACATAGATAAATAGATAGACTGTACTCCCAAGGCTGCTAGAGAGAGAAAACCTACGTACCCAGTGAAGCATGATGCAGCTGGAGTTCTGACATCTCTGGGAGGTAAAAGGAGAAACCAGGAGTCAGAAAGAGGCCAAGAGGACAGACAGTTAACTCATCCTTGGGATGGGGAGAGGAAAAGGACTGAGGAAGTAAAGGCAAGGACAACAAGAGTTTAAGAAGATAATGCAAAAGCAGGGAAGGCAAGGTGTCTCACCGGAGGCTGGTGAGACCATCCTGAGAGCCTCAGCTCAGATCTGGGCCAGGGAGCTGAAGAGAGAGTCATGACTGAATGACAGGTGGCAACTCCAGCAGGAAGAACAGCTGGGACGCATGTATCTTTCCAAACACGTGGGACTCCTGGCTCTGGCCAGTGGGGGAGGGGGATGAGCACAGTCAGCACTCGGATTTTGATTTCCAGACAGCATTCTTCACTAAAAGGAACCAGGGCTCCTTGGAAAAAAAACTGCTTCCAGGGCTGGGAAAGGAAAATTACAGGATGAGCTTAGAATACCTTATAGTGCCAGCATGTAAGGAAGTTCTCAAAAAAAAAAAATGATGGGAACATGTCCAAAAGACACAGGATCCAAACTGAAGGAGCTCCCAATGGCTGAATCTGGGACAATTTGAGTAACAAAGTTAAAAAGCAATAGTAATGGAAACCCATAGAATAAAATACCCATGAGTCAATATTGATATGAATAGATAATTGAATAAATAGGGGAGAAGACACAGATCTTATAGTAGAATGCCAATTAATAAATGTAGACACAATAATGGAAATAAAACATCACCAGTTGGCAAACATCATAGCAATATCTGTTTTAGGCAAGATTCACTGATGGATGCTAAAATTAGGGGGTGAAAGTATGGTGAGAAACAGGAAATCTGCAGTCTCTAAGCATCTCCCTATCAGATACATATTAATCACAAAAGTAAAAACAGAAATGTTGCAGCAGAGAAGCTTGGCAGACATCATCTGAACCAAATGATCACCATTAACATCACCAACAATAACAATACTGACACTGTGTAATCCTTAATATAATGTGCTGAGGAGGGTACCTCATTTCTGGAGCCTTCCTGCCCGAAATAACAAAACTTCAATCTATATTTCTAAATGGGGAAAACTTGGCTCTAGTTCCGGTTCTGGCTCTGAAGATGGTCTGTTAATTTTAGTTAATTTTAGTTAATATTAAGATTAGTTAATATTAGTTAGCTGTTAAGATTAGTTAACAAAGAAAACATAAAGCCCAGGTTGAAAGATACTATACAAAATACCTGATCAGGACCCCTGCAAGGGTTAAAAATCATAAAAGAGAGGGGAAGACTGAGGAGGTCCCAGATTGGAGGAGAGGAAGGAGACATGATAGCTAAATGTCATGTGGGCTCCTGGGCCAGAAAAAGGACATTAATAAGACAACTGGCAGAATTTGAGTAAAGTTCATGGTTCAGTATCAGAGATGTATTCATTTCCTAGTTTTGATAATCACACCGTGGCTGTGTAAGAGCTTAACATCAGGGGAAGCTGAGTGAGGTGTTTTTTGGTAACTTTTCTGTAAGTCTCAAACTATTTCAAAATAAAAAGTTATTAAAAATTAGATAATAAACAAGAGAAGTGAGTTGAAGGTCACTCAGTTGTGTCCAACTCTTTGTGACCCTGTGGACTATACAGTCCATGGAATTCTCCAGGACAGAATACTGGAGTGGGTAGCCTTTCCCTTCTTCAGGGGATCTTCCCAACCCAGGAATTGAACCGGGGTCTCCTGCATTGCAGGTGGATTCTTTACCAATGGAGCTATCAGGGTAGCTCAGAAACAAGAGAACATAAGTATTTATATGTAAAACAACAAGTATGTGGTTTGTTCTAAAATACTCCAGCAAAAAAGGCATGGAGACAGGTGAAACACAGATATTGGTAGTTAAAGATGATGATGATGGGGTCTTCTTTTGATCCTCTTTTGAGTTTGTCTGACTTTTGCGTAGTAAAAGTTTAAAATAAAACCATAAAGAATAAAATAAAATCACTATTACAAAATGACAGAATACTGCAAAGTGAGTGAGTAATAAATTAATACTCAAAAAGCTGTGTCTGGCGAGATGGGAGGCAGATGGGTGTAGCACAAGCTGATGCGTGTTTTGCCGATCGCAGACAAGAACAGCTTCCAACAGCAGCTAAAGCCAAAACAGACACACCCAGGGAATATCAGAAAGCAAGACTCCCAGGAAATGAGGAAAGTAAGACCACCTCCAAGCTGAGCAGGCAGCGTGGCTCCCGAGTGCTCACAGCACCTCTGGTGAGCATTCTGCTTCCTGGCCCTCCCCTGTGAGGAAAGGCAGGCTTGGCAGCGGGTGGGGATGTGGGGAAGGGGCCACAGGCAGGAAGGAGGACCAGGGGGCTGTGTGTGCCGCAGCCAATCCCGGCTAAGTCACTGAGCTTGGGGGCTTTGGGGCAAAGCTTATGGGAAGCAGCAAACACGGGGCCTTGTGGGGCTAAAAGGCAACCAGGCAGAGACCACCCCGGAGCCTGGGGAGTGGGAAGGACTGTTTCTAATCAGATGCTATGTACTCCACCCAGCCTCAGGCCCTGCCCACAATGGTACTGACCGAAGGCAGGACAAATACAGAGTGGCCTACGTGGACCTCTCATGGACACGTCAGGCTCTACCGTGGGAGACCCTGCCAAGAGGGAAAATGGGGTGGAAGGTTTGCTGGGAATGGACAGGACATTTCCTGATAAGAAGTGTAAAAAGCATAAAGCATGGAGCCCTGAGGGTCACACTGCCTAAGTTTTTACCACTTTACCAGTTACAGGCCAGGAGGCTTGCACCAACACCTGATGGGGCCAGTCGCGTAAACCCCCCAATCCCATCCTCCCCAGATGAGACGGCCCTGAGCCATACTCTCCACGGGCTCCCAGAGTTCCCTAACAGATTAAGTGGATTACAGAGCTGCCCGCAGGGGGAACTG